TAAGTCTATTTTTCCCGTGGAACGTTTTAAATAAATTACATAGAAACTGATTGACCGATACCTGATAGTTCAATGCACATCATAGCCTTTCATTAGATGGCCTTACCAAGTTACTAGCCTGCAGAAAATTTTATTAATAACTCCAATAGAAGATAACCGATAATTTGCATTTCTGTGCTTGTTCATCAAAACCACACCTCCTGTGTTCTACATGCAAATACTAGCTTTTATCATCTTGATAGACTATTGAAAATAAAAAATAAAAAAGTTCCACAGAGAAAATCACTTAATTGCATGCATAAAAATTTTGGTTGCCTATGAGAACCAAGTAATTGGTTAAATGTATTAAGCATTACATTAAATACATTAATGCTTTACAGGGGGTGTGTGGGAGTGGGTATTTGCAGTGGATAGATTTCCTAATACATTTCATATAAAGCAGAGGCTATTAGAATTGTGAGATTTAATCAAGTAATTGACAACATACTTTTGATAACTTAAACAAAAGCTGTCAATAAAAGCTTCAAACTATTGTCAGTCAATAAGTTTTTTGTGGAAAGTGTTTTAAAAATTGAATAGACTGCAACTTAGAAGAAATTATTCTTTTGTATGTGAGGTAATGTTTTCAGCATTATGATAAAAGAAAAAGATGACACTTCATTTGTGTTGTTGTATTTAACCTCCCAAATCTTAATGAGTGTTGGATTAGAATTCTCAGAAATTTTAGCTCCCGGAAAGGTTGCTTTATTCATATGCGATCTGTTTGAGTTAAATTAATCATTCTCATATGCAATCTGTTTTAGTTAAATGAATCAGTCTGTCCAGATATCTGTACCTGCACTTAAAGCAATCTTGAGGGGTGGTAGTTTCTGGGAGATTTTTTTCACTATTGTTTAGATTTTCAAGATGCTTTTGAAAAATTATATTTTCATTGACACTAAAGACAAGAAAACTAATATGAGGATTGATATTAGGCTATAATATTTCCACCCAAGTTAACCAAGTTTTCTTTCATTATGTGATAGCCAAATAATTGTTCCTATTTGATGTAAAATAGCTGCAAATAATAGATTAATTTTTGATACTGTAAGGAAACTCTATCTAATTTTATAGCCAATTTGATGTAGTGGTTACAGCAAGAGAAACCAAGAGACCATGAGTTCTAGTCACACAGGAGGCACGAAGCCAGCTGAGTGGCCTTGAATCAATCACTCTCTCTCAGCCTTAGGAAGCAGGCAAAGGCAAGCCACATCTGAAAAATTTTCCAAGACATTTGCAGTGAGTTGTCAAAGCAGTTGCCAGGAATCAAGACTGACTCAACGGAAATTTTAAAAAAAATGTGTATTTAAAAAAAGGTGTGTTTATATGAAATGTTAGGTGCTATAGAAATGTTTTATAGAAAATGCTTATGTTTGGATATACCAGGGTTTTACACTTTCAGTCATTGAAAGTGTAGTTGCAATTATTATATGAATAATTGCAGTATTACTTGCAATTGAAGTGGCCTTTAAAAGCAAGAAATGAATAATACATTAAATAAAGTTCATATCTATTCTTCTATTTATTTATTTATGAAATATATTTATATGCCGCCCAATCCCGAAGGATTCCGGGCGGCTTACAAAAAATATAAGAAAAAAAAAACACATAACGATAAAAGAAAACAATTTAAAAACAACAAACACCTACATACATTAATTCTAGTCGGAGCTGGACCTCAACAGTGAGGTCAACAGTCCCAGGCCTGCCGGAACAGCCAAGTTTTTACAGCTTTCCTGAAGGCCATGAGAGTGGGTATGGTCCGGATTTCCGGGGGGAAATATAA